TCTCTCTCTCTCTCTCTCTCTCTCTCTCTCTCTCTCTCTCTGGAATTTCAAGTTTCTTTTGGACGCTACTGTATTTGTTACGTCTATGTGAATTTAACCAGATATGTAGGGTTACAGTAAGCGGGGAAACAATGGAACGGCTGCTGTAGTACGAAGCAACACAGAGAGACAATGCTTATGAAATGAATATTATGGCTGGTTCGAAAAGCTTGCTCTCTCTCTCTCTCTCTCTCTCTCTCTCTCTCTCTCTCTCTAATGAATAAATAGACATGTATTATATATTATATGATTTATCTATCCATCTATATAGACACTTAAATTGTAATATTGACAAGTGTTCACGCACACTTATGCGTGTGCCCATCCCGATTAGTTATAAACCGTTTTAATTGTTTATATAGACAGGTTACCGTTAACTCGGCTGTGGTAAAGAGATAATTTTGGTAGCAGATTAATATTATAGAAGGCGCCTGACGGAGTTCTCGTGGTTTAGAGGTTAATGTGTTCGCCTCTCATTCAATAGGTCCCGGGTTTGAATCCGGATAGAGACGGAAACTTTTCTGCCCTAAAATCCTCACCTTTCACATCCTTTCCTCTTCTCTGACAATGATCTGTTGTCTGCTTTCGTCTCCACTTTCTGTCCCAACCTCCTCCCCTAATTTGCCCCCTCCTCTCGGTTCCATCTCGAATAAAGGCGAACAGTCTTGGAGGTCCCGTGTGCAAGCTGCATACGTTAAAGTTAAAGATTCCTTGGTGGTCCCAAATGGACAAGAGTAAGAATAACAACAACCAAGTAAAGTCGTTGTCCATCCGTCCTTTCGTTATCGTTTCCTGGCTTTTGGATCTCGATTCGCACGCGAATGACATTATAGGCCCCTATGACTTTGTTTGACTGCAAAGTTTTCTATTCAGACCAAAAAACATTCAGCAGATTGGAACTCTTGGAGACTTAACCGAAGTTTGTGTTTTTGCCCGTTAAGCTTCCTAGACTGTGACTAGTCTTTCTATGTTTTGCAAAAAGATTTTACACTCATGTAAGATCAGTGACATGCAATGTGCACCTGGAGCCCTTCAGTCACATCTGATTGTTCCTTTTATGTTGTGCAACTGCCAGAATACCATTCACACCTTGTTACGCCAATTGCCCAAGGTGCAATTCTTTAGAGGGAAATTGCACAGTAAGAAAACATCCACTGAAAAGCGGCGATTGAGGGTGTGAGAAAACGCATTCTTAATATTATTATTATCATTAATATCATACCGATGACGAGTACCTCATTTTCGGGAAAATCCGTACAAATTACGTAAACATTCTCGCGTCAAAGCAAATAAGATAAACAGATTTGGTCGTGATATAAATTTCTCTTTTTTGACAACTTTTAGCGCATTTTAAAACCATTTCCTCCTCGATTTCAAATGCCCATTTTTGATATGTTATTACACGCAATTTTATCTGTTGAACCATTGAGGTTTTGCTCTTGTACAAAGACGGGAGGAGTTCCGCAGAGGGCCGGCATTTACCGTGACAAGGTCCTCTGAGCAAACTGTACAAGAGTTAGGGTTAGGGTTTGGGTTAGGGTTAGGGTTGGGATCTGGGTTAGGGTTAGGGTTAGGGTTAGGTGTCGTGGGTTAGCCGGTCCTGTGCGGAACTCCTACCGTTTTTGACCAGACTAGGACGAGGGTTTTATCCCATTAGTAAAAATAAAACTACTATGATCTGCTCCTTAATTTGCATACATTTTACTTTTCGCATACAATAAAATCCCTGACACTTAAGAACAGTCAACATTAGTAAATAGCAAGTGTAGATAATATACCTTCCACATTCAGGTGTTAGTAAGTACCTTGTATAAACTACTACGTTAGACAGCTTGCTCAAATGTAGCAGTCCGTACTACTACCCAATGACATCTGAAAGATCAAACTAGTTTTGACACTAATACGTAATTCAAAAGAATTTGGAAACTCTCTCACCTTTTGTAATCATGAACAATAAAGGCAGAGCAATCAGAACATAAACACCAATACACAATGGTACCCAATACATCGTTCATCTGAATTTGTGAGCAAATGATGCTGTCCACAACTGTTTCAAATATTCCAAACGGCATGCTGCATTGCTTACACGTCGAAAGCAAGAAAAGAAATGCAGTACACATCACACCGAATGCCCTTATAGTACATACAAGGGCACTGTTTACTCAGAAATGTTTTTTTCACGTAAGGCACACATCACAATTTCCGAACGTGATCTCCACATGTAACGAATCATTTAGATTGCTACAACGAGAAAAATAACAATCACATCTCTCAAAGTGACTCGCAGATAGATCTAATAGTGTTGAGAGTTTTTTCTCAGTCACGGAATTTTTAAAAAGCCTTTTATCTATACAACCTCGCCTTATTTTGTGTATATTGTGTCTACCTACGCCTATTCAGATCAAACGTTCACATTTAACACTGAACTGCAATCCTGTTGCCCTTGGCATACCTAACTATGGCAAAGCACATACGTCTCCATTTTCACAGTACACATTTAGTGTTACCCTACCCGACTATGGCGAAGCACATACTCTTCAGTTTACACAGTACACATTTGACACTGTCCTTTCCGCGTGAGGTCATCATTGACCCAGTTCACCAGACCGCGATCGGCCGGCTGTGTCGAGTTATTGAAACTCATTCAGTCTAAAGGTCCCTCCCAACGCTCTCCCTTTATTGGGTAAAATAACGATCCAGTCTCCACTCGTGCAAGACCGGCTCTATTGTTGAATAACACGTAGGTCTGATGGGAGTCTGGTAGGCGTCAGAAAGGTCTGTGGTTTCCAGATTCATGACTCATGCAGATGTGTTCGTGTTTATTTTGAATGGTGTGCCCCAAGCATACGGGTGTGTTTGAGTGAGTGTGTATTTACACGAGTGTGTGTGTGTGTGTGTGTGTGTGTGTGTGTGAGAGAGAGAGAGAGAGAGAGAGAGAGAGAGAGAGAGAGTGAGAGAAAGAGAGAGAGAGAGA